TGTATTCTCTCCAATTCTTCTGGATTCCTCTGAAAACGTACTTTTCAGAAATATAGAGGGGGCCAAAAAATGTATACATATTTTGAGAATGGAAAAAATTATATTAAAATTGTAATATTCAAGTCATGTTTAACTTCTGCAATTACAAGGGGTGCTCAAATATGACTTGTGCCCATCTTTTGTTATTGGTATATATTGAGTATTGCAATTATAATACAGTTTTCCTTTCTTAAATGTGTATACATTTTTTTGGCACCCTCTGTATATACAGCACTATCGGTGTGATGTGCACATATCAACAGCCCAGAGCAGGGAAGCACAGGTCAGGACTATCACCTTCCTGATTTCAGACCTTATATTTCTATTAATTTAATCCATCTAAGATCACATGAGATATTTAAGTGGTTCTATCACTTTTGTTGATTGTAAGGGAGGGAACCTCAGGGAGGTTAGTGGGGACACTTATGGGGTTGGCTACTCACCTGTGTCCCCATTTAGGGGTGATAGTTCCTGGGGCTCTGGTCTGGGTGGCTGATCTGACTCTTGGTGCCTCTGGAAGTAATGAGACAACAATAGGTGAGGGTAGAGGGTGGGCGGTCAACGTAAGGATGGGATCTTTCCAAAGGCAAGGCAGGACTGTTAAACCTGCCCCACGCCTGGTCCATTTGGACGGGTTTCCTCCCCAGCTGCGGCAACACTCCTTGTATGGAGGGAGGGTTCCCAGAGCAGGATTTCTCATGCTTGCCAGGGACACCTCAGTGGGGAGTTGGATGCTGCCTGAGCTTTCCTTAGATCCTTGTGGTCTGTTTCTCGCTGCCACCCATGGGGATCTCCCTGCCCATCCCTCCTTCCTTCTCCCAGGATTTGGCCAGACCTTCTGCTGCTATCTTTGCCTCAGCTATGGTCTTGAAGTGCCCCAAACCTCCCAGTTCCCAATTCTGAGATGATTCCTCTTTTCTTCAGGGCTTATTGCTATCCCAGCTTCCAGCCAGGTTCTTCTCAAAGGAATGTGATATCGAGGGCAGAGAATTAGAATTTCAAACCCTGATTTACTGTGCTTGTTCTGTTTCTGCAACTGTAAAATAGAGACAAGAGTACTTAGCTTGCAGGATGAGAGTGAGATATGGCATTCAGGATGTACCAGATGCTAGGCTGGCTTGCCTATGCTATCTTAGTTGATTTTCAGAACAACCTTGAAAAATATGAATATCTCAAATTTAAAGATAAGGAGGCCAGGCCGAGGCTAAGTGAAGCTAGGATTCAATCAAGATAGTTCAGGGGATAGTTGGCAGAGTATTTGAGCCTTACCTAGTGGACGCTTTAACCAACCACGGGCAGTATTGGCTGAATCTGATCAAAGGAATAAATGACGCAAAAGGGCTTTTGACATCACTAAGCAGGGTCAGTGGCTCCCAGATTTCATAAATGACTAATATTTTTTAATGAGAACGTTGATAAAGATTGGCAAGCAAGCAAGAATGCTGAAAAAGTTACTTGTAGATTATCACCATCATTTTCATAAAATAAAGAGCATTTTAAGCTTCCAGAATACAGTCAAGAAAAGCTCAAGAGCAGTCTTCCAGGAAAGGGGAGTGATATGCTTACCCAACGTCACACCTACTTACACCTTTAATTTTATTGCTTCTCCCCAGACAGGTGAAAAGTTGGTTGAATTGGACCAGGATTTGGGGGGAGAAAAAAAAATGTAAGCCCTTTTGTCTACTTTTCAAAATGCTGGAAGGAAAGAAGGAGGGGAGAAGGAGGGAGGGAGGGAAGGAAAGGATGTTCTAGATCCCATTTTAAGAAACGCTTCTTTTTAAATGTTCAAACGTTTTAAAAAGACTACGACAAGGCTATGAAAATGTTCCATTGTGAATTAGCACTATAGAAGAAACCTTTACTTTTTACTGTGGTAACATATTTTCAAAGGCAATTTTTAGAATAGAAATTATTAAAAATTTTCTAAACTCAAGAACTACTGAAATGCTGCTAGAAAGCAAACTCCGGTTAGGGAGGGGAGATAAATCAAGCGAAGTCTTCTAGAACAGTCTGCTCCCCTCCCACAGGGCCTGGCACATGCAAGCCCCTGGCAAACTGAGTGAGGCACGGTGCCTCCCCCGGCTCCTGGGCCTCAGAATCTGCTCAGTGGCTGGGAGAGTCTGACAAGTGAGCTCGCCATCCACCCTGGGAGGACTCAGCCTGTCCTTTCTAGGGGAGAGGAGGAAGCCTGGTCCAGGCACGAGCCAGAGAAACTGTCAACACAAGAATCTGGACAAGTGACAGGAGCCAGCCCCCGCACTGGGGGCTGGAGGAAGGAGGGAGATGACCACAAATGCTCACCTCTTTCCTATTGCCACCACTGGTTATGCTGAATCTGGGCAATGTTTTTATGAGAGCAAGAGGGCCTGGGTTCTAGCCTTGGGTCTGCTACACATTGGGACAAGTCCTTTCCCCTCTCTGGGCTTCTCTTTCCTCCTTCAGGAAGTGAAGGTGAGGAGGTCTAGTAGTTTATCTCGATGATTCCCTGGTATTTAAGCTCTGAGTTCTAAGCTCCACTCCTTTCCACAGCACTGTGGAGCAAAGGTTATTACAGGTGAGGAAACTGAGGCTTAGGGGGTTGAAATGGTGCCCTCATGTTCAAGTCAGCATTAGAATCTGGTGTCAGAATATTTGAGACTATAGAGCAGAGTGGGTAAGACTTCTGGAATTCTAGGATCATATAGCTCTGGGTCCAAATCCTAACTTTAACACTGCGACTGAATGACTTCTCCAGGCCTGGGTTTTCTCATGAGGTGTTTAGATGAAATACTGCACCTGCGGTGTCTGGCACATACTAACAGATCAAATACTGTGGAGATTATTGCTTTCTGTTTGAGAAACATGGCAAGAACAAAGGTCCCATGGTGTTTTAGAAGATATTATAGGCTGCCATGGGTCTCAGGTTTTATCATCTGAAATAATATCATAAGCTCATGACATACTCCCCTTTTTACAAATAACAACCACAATAGAATGGTGGATAATTTGTCTCCACAAACAGCTTCCAAACTACAGGCAGGACAGGACCCTGTGCTGAGATCTTGAGTCCTGATCAAATCATCCCCAACATTCAAGACCCAGTGTCTCCAGCCTGTTCCTCCTCCATTTTCTTAATATTTTAAATATTTGTAAACATCTTTTCCCAGTTACAGTAGCAGTAAACATTCATCATAGAAAGTAAGGAAAATACAAGAAGAGAATCGCACTACCTAGTGACAACCCCGAACACAGTGGCGGGTTGTGCACCTACATATACATAGCCAGTATAGGAATATTCATACTTATGTGCTTCCTTATACCTTATTTCTTCAAATATGTTATGAGTCCTTACTACATTCATAAATTGTGTAAATCTAGTAATTTTAATGAGTTGAATATCTCTATGGATGAATTTATTTATTTTATTATTATTATTATTTGAGACAGAGTCTCATTCTGTTGCCCTCAGTAAAGCGCTATGGCGTCATAGCTCACAGTAACCTCCAACTCTTGGGCTCAAGTGATTCTCTTGCCAAGTTAGGACTACAGGTGCCCGCTACAATACTCAGCTATTTTTTTGTTGTAGTTGTCATTGTTGTTTAGCTGGCCTGGGCTGGGTTTGAACCTGCCAACTTCGGTGTATGTGGCTGGTGCTGTAACCACTGTGCTATGGGTGCTGAACCTCTATGGATGAATTTAGCCATTTAACCTACTCTTGAGTATTTAGATTTTTTTAATTCAAATTATGCTTCAATGAGCATACTAATTTATAACATTTTTTCCACATCTAACATTACTGGCTTTGTCCTTCAGAAAGAGTCTACCAATTTACTGGTCCAACCAATGGCACACAAGAAAGCCAGTTTCTTTCTTTCTTTTTCTTTTCTTTCTTTTTTTTTTTTTTGAGACAGAGTCTCACTCTGGCACCCTGGGTAGAGTGCACTGGTGTCATCATAGCTCACAGCAACCTCAAACTCCTGGGCTCAAGGGATCTTCTTGCCTCAACCTCCCGAGTAGCTGGGACTGTACACACAAGCCACCACTCCTGGCTAATTTTTCTACTTTGGTAGAGACAAAGTCATCCTCTTCTCAGGCTGGTCTCAAACTCTAGCGCTCAGGCAATCCACCCACCTTAGTCTCTCGAAGAGCTAGGATTATAGGCATGAGCCACCAAAATATCAAGAATTCCAGTTTTACCACAACTTTGCCAACATGGAATATTACCACTTTTTGAAAAGCATTGGCAAAATTGCTAGATCATAACCAAACCCAAACCACCTAGTGCTACCTATTGTGTTCCTGGCCCCAACACAGGCATCCATGTGCTCAAGACATTCCAAGCTGCTTAAGACCATCCCACCATGACACATGGTCAAGTCTTCCTGGGCCTTCCCCAGGGCTGAGTTAGTTCCCGTCTTCACTATGGCCCATGAGAGTCCTACACCTGGTTAGCTGTCCCTCTCTCAAGGGGCTCCTTGAGGAGAGGATTTTGAAATCCACATTGGATTTGCCAGTATGGTATGATGCCAGAAAAGTATTTCTTAGGAATGGGTCTATGGACTTTCTGTATCAGAACCACCTGGACAGCCTACTTAGCACAAATTACTAGGCTCAATTCTAGACATAGACAGTTGGGGGGGGGGTTGTACATGTGTGCTGTTAGCAATCTATCCTGGTGATCTGATGCCCACAAGAGCCTGAGGACACTGGGTCCTGACCTGGGTAGGGCTCAATGAGCCACTGTTGAATGGAAAATCCCCAGGTTGGGGCCCTGGCCACTTCCTCCTCAGAGGTCAGGGCACAGAGTACACCCTGCGGTGGGGGAAGACAGGAGTGGGGAGAGGGACACAAGAATTTCCCCTTCCAAAAGCAGGGGTGGGGGGCCTAGGGCTGGGGTGGGGCATCCGGACTGTACTCTGCGAGAGGGATGACAACTTCCTGAGTCAACGGAAACTTGGGAGCAAGAAAGCTACAGAGGCAGTTAGCAACACAGGATGCTGGGAGAGCCAGGCCTGGGGGGAGGACAAGAGACCTGGATTCCAGCTTTACTGTGTGGCTTTGGGTAGGTCACTTCCCTCCTCCAGGTCTCAGTTTCTTTATCTGTGAAGGTCAGGATTGGGTCAGATGCTCTCAGTCTGTCTGAGTTCTAGAGCAGCCCTTCTCCTAAGAAGGCTGGAAATGGAGCGCCTACACCTGCTGCAGGCCCCACACAGCTCTGAGGCCCACTCACAGCTCTGCAGCCCACTCACAGCTCTGCAGCCCATGCACAGGTCTGACACCCAGCTCTAGACCAGAGGCCTGCTGTAGGTTCAATCTGAAGTGAACCTGGTGTTGTACGACACAGCTGCAAAGAGCAGACAGTGTTCAAAGCCATGGAGAAGCCAAACAAGTTCAGATCGGGGCTGGTAAGACCCTCTAGAACAGTGGGTCTCAACCTTCCTAATGCCATAATGCTTTAATACAGTTCCTCATGTTGTGGTGACCCCCAACCATAAAATTATTTTCGTTGCTATGCTCATGTTTTGGAGGGTAAA